TGTGTGTGTCTGTGTGTGTGTCTGTGTGTGTGTGTCTGTGTGTGTGTCTCTGTGTGTGTGTCTGTGTGTGTGTCTGTGTGTGTGTGTCTGTGTGTGTCTGTGTGTGTGTGTCTGTGTGTGTATGTTGGATTTTTAAGCATTTTGGGAGCTCAAATGCTAGGAATGTGAGATCCAGGAACTTTGCTGCCTCTGAGCTTCTGGCTTCATTTTAAAGCATCCTAACTGATTTTGCATCTGGTAGTCCTACTTATTTATTTGTTTATTTATTTATTTATTTATTTATTTATTTTACTGCTTTACAGAAAGAATGAGTTTATGAATAAAACTCTCCTCTATTTCAGGAATTACAGCATATTGTGGGGCCACAGCGTTTCTCGGGAGTTCCAGGTAATTATGAGTTTGAACAAGTGTTTGAAGTCCTGTATGGGAAGTAGTCTTTAAGCTCACCTGGTTCTGTCATCCCCAGCTATGATGGAAGGCTCATGGTTGGATGTGGCCCAGCGGGGCAAGCCTGAGTCTCAGCCGTTTGCACACCTCACCATCAATGCCGCCAACATCCCATCGGGTAAGTTCTGTTTACACCAGCCTGAAAGCATTTTTCAAGTTTTCATTCATCAGCCCATGGACCTACTCAAACCTTCTAAACCAAGGCAAACCCTTCAGTTGAGTCCTACCTTGCCAATCATGTCATATCATGTCTGTATTCATTCTCAGGGACGGAAGTGGGTGTTTGAGCACCTTCCGGTTGAGAACATGAATAATTGCTCGCAGTGCCCATCTGTTTTCACTCTGAAATAGACTAGTTTGATATCAAACGGATCCCCACTGCCTACTTCCTTGGTGGATGACTGCATTCAGGAAGTCAGAGATTTTTCCCATCTAGTAAGGCTGTGTGGGGGCTAGCAGGTGACAGCACTCCTCCAGAAGCTGAGACATTCTATCTCCTTTTCCTATGTTTATCTTCCCACTCTCTGGTAAATATTTACTTTATTAGACCAGAGACTTCGATACTTTTGAAGATGAGGACCCAGAGCTGTGTGCCCGTAGTTACCTCATTGCGCTGGGTAGTCATCACAAAGTCACACTGGCTACTCGCCACGAGCTAGGTAAAGCTGACAAGGATTACAGGGGGCATCATGGGAGTGTGATAACTGAGCATCGTGTCAGCAATGCTGTGTCCTGCAGGCCGCACACCTCCAGTGGCTGAGGTATTTCTCTGTGTGTTCACTACCTCTCACCCTCACTGCAAGGTAGCAGTTATTGTTCAGATTGTTCAGACAGTACCACAGTGCTTCATACAGCTTACCGTTTGCTTGAGGTCTCCGTGGTAGCAGAAGTAGAAGCTGACATCCCTTTCTATTTAATTCCCAGATCAGTGCTGTGTGTTATCCTAGCAGCAGGCTGCAGGGTACTTGTGCTAGGTTGGCTTTGTCATAAGGGAGTACTCCAAGGGTCACATTATTTTTGCATGGAGTAGATTAGTTTGGAATCCAGTGACAGGGCTCTAATGTCTGCTTGTGTGACCTTGTATGAAGCCTCAGCTATGACAACCATGAAAGTGCTGTCCACCTTGTAGGGCGGCTAAACATACTATATTTTCAGCTGGGAAGGGGGCATAGTACATCCAGTAGATGTGATTTAGAATTATTATTTGAACTTAATTACATCATTATATGAATTCCACTTTGTTTTACAAATGGCTTAAGGCAGGATTTTATTCTTTTTTTGAGCCTAATCTTTTTGAGTCTTTTAAATAGCAAAAATCTATCTTTTAATAGATAGTTTTGAGCCACTGTTGTAGCATAGGCCACAGAGAGATTTTTTTTTTCTGATTGAAGATACAAAAGGAACGAAATCAACTCTTGAGCTGCCAGGAGATACTCTCAGCTGCCTGCTCTGATCCTATACATAGTCACTTCCATAAACAGGTTTTCTGTCTGGGTGTTCCTGGTCACCGGGCTTCACTAATTTTCTCTGAGTGGGAAAGCTAGTTTGCATGTTCACAAAGGCAATCCAATTAATACCAGTGTGCGGGCTGCGTGTGCTGTGGCTGTACCCTGCATTTATCTTTTCAGTTCACTTTAAATGGCATAGGATAAATATTGCCTGAGAGTGTGTGCCAAAGTCAGCTTGGCAACAGCAAGCATGTTTTAGTTATAAGGCTCCCTCTGCAGGCACCTAGAATCCAATCGGTGCCAAAATCCAGGCAAAACTCCTGGTTCTCTTCCGACAGCTATTTGGTTCAGGATTCAGGGAAACGAGCCACCCTATGCTTCTGTTTTAAGAAAATAGAGTTAGTTGTTCTGATTGGGCCAACAGCCCCTCTCACCCCTTGTTCTCTCATTGCTGGCCAGTACTGAATGATTCAGAGGAAGCTGGCTTTGACTAGCTATTTTTATTTTGGAGCACTGTTATACATTTTTGCACACATGAGGAGACAGAACCGGTCGTAGGTGGGTTGTTACCTTACGCAGTTTCAGAATGTTTGGAGTAAAACGCACTAGGAAGTACTTGGAGGTAGGGTCAGAATATGCAGTTTTTCTTTGGGAGCTGTTGCAGGCTAAATGTTTGCTGAAGTCCCTTTCCAACATGTAGCAGCTGGGAGCCCAGCAGAGAGCTGGGGAGGTCAGCCAGGCCGGGCTAAGAGGCCCTCAGCATGTCTCATTAGCAGTAGCAATCCTGGCAGCCAGGGCGGCCCTCCGCCCTTGCGTGTCCTCATTTTTCCGCCGACTGTTATCTTTGGTGAGTCCTTTTATTCACTGTCTAACTTTCCAGCCTTTCTCCTGTGGGCTTCGTGAACGCCCCACTGCTCCGATAGTGTTTCTCTCACCGACGACATGCTCCCCCTCTTCAACCCATTTTGGACCCAAAGCTTCCCAGTTCTCTAACTCTTCTGCCTTCTCACCAAGCTCAGCTCTGCTGAGCCTCGGAGTCTCTTTGGCTTTTGTTTGGCAGCTCCTTGTCACTAATGCTGACCCTGTCCTTGACAGCACCTGACAGTAGCCATGGACAGGCCGTGTTTTATATGCTCACTTTCCTTACTGTCAGTGGTAAGCATCCTGAGGGCCCACTACTTAGGAAAAGTCTTCATTATGGTCGGATTGAGTTCTTCTGCATTATGAGGAGAGTGGGTGTCTCCCGTCAGAACTCCAGGATGAATAAGGGTTCAGAACAGGTATGGAGGAAAGCGGAGAGACATAGTATAGCATAGCAGCTTCCACTGGACTCACTGACCTTCGGGAGTAGCACTAGATCAGGGTTCCTGCCTTCCTACCCACGATTGTGTATTACTTTTTTTGCCTTCCTTGGCTATCTCACTCCAACATGAGTTAGCCAATCCCATAGAAAGAAGGGACTTCACATTAGTGATTTAATTTGTCTCTATTAAGAGATAGGTAAATAGCAATTGAATGGAACACATTACAGAAAAAAGCTGGGCAAAATGGGATAACTTGAGATGGGAATATCTTGAATTTCGTGAAGTTTGCCCATGGGTTCCTTAGGTGGCTATCTACCAGGTTGGAGGAGCGACACTGTCAGTACTTATGATGATGTAGTAAGCAAGCTTTTATAGTCTCATGTTGATTCACTTAGGACCCTAGGGTGATGTTTGTATTCAGAACATTTGACTCCAGGGAGAGCTGGGATAAGATCTACAATAGAAAAGAAGGACAATTGCTGTCCAGTGCCTGGAGGCTGGTGACTGTAGCAGCTCTGCTGCAAAGTCTGAGAACACACCTGTCCTCTTTGGGAACCGGAACTATTGTTTTCTTCGTCATTTAAAGATGGGTTGTCCCACTGTAGATTGACTACTACCTCATCTCCCCACTCCCACTTTTTCTGTTACCTGTCCAGTTTCTGCTGTAGCTTGATTTGGAAGTCCTCAGATCACCAGATCCAAGAGACCATAGACCATTCTCTGGTTCATCATCTGACTCTCTAAGAAGGATACAGATGTTCAAGTCTTCCTAGGACCAGGCCATGGTGGGAAGGTAGTATTCCTTCCCATAAACCATAGTGTAGGTGGTATTATTATTGCTGTTGCTGTTGCTGTTGCTGCTGCTGCTGTTATTAATACAAGGATCTCCTTGGGTCCACCAAACCAGAGAGTTGTCAACTTTTGTGACTTGGAATCTAGTTCATGAGGTGGTAGCTTCAGTGTCAGTCTCTGGGCTTATTTTTGTTTTCTTATAAAATTATTTATGTATATTGCTGTCTAAAGCAATAGGTTTCATAATGGCATGTTTGTTCAGGTGTATCATGTCTTTTGATCTTATTTACTTTCCATCACACTCAATCCCAAATACTGCCCCCTCTTCTGGAATGGTTGGGGTGTGTGTGAGTGTCTCCCAGTTTCCATACATGAGCAAGAACTTGTAATCCTTGTCTTCTCTTGGTCTCCCTGACTTCTCCCATTTACTATCTCAAGACTAACAAGTTGAAGACAACATGGCACCCAACATTTTTTTATGCTGCTGAAACAAGTTATCCCCTGCTCCCATGGTCTGAGACCTGGCTGTGTTTTGTCTTGCTGACACCAGAGAGAAGGCAATGTTAGTTTGATATAACTCTTCATAAAATCCCTGGAGGAATGATGTGGTTTTGGACTTTTCCATAATTCTGTAAACTTGCACCCTGTCAGTTATCACTTTTGCCAGTAGAATAATAAGCGTCTGTATTAGTATACATATGGAATAGTTTGATTTATTATAGAGGTATCACCAATATTTTAAAGACACAGTAATACACATCAAGGACCTGGGCTGTGAAAACCATTGGGTACACAGCTGACTTAGAATGTTCTGTAGAACTTGGACTTCTCCAAAAGCTGTAGCACGGCAGTCCCTGGTCCTTTCATTTCATGGACCAGAAAGGGTTGTAGGAGAACTTGGGACTTGGGAGTGACTTTACAATGTGTGAATGCAATTGCATGACGTTGAGGAGCTGGGGTAAGCTGAGGAGCTCAGGGGGCTTCTCTGGGGATAGCCTGAAGCTTCTATGGGGATAGCCACTGAGTTGTGTGACTCAGGCTAAGGTGGACATACTAGATAGTGATGCAGGTGGAAGTTGACCTCCACAGAGCTTCTGTGACCCAGATTCTCATATTCCTTTACACACCTCTCTCTACAAACTAAATAAAGGTTGACTATATGAAGAATGGAAATTCTCTTCCTACACAAGTTGGTTTCTTTCCTAGCTGAACTGATTCTGGCTAATTTCCCCTTTTCAACTTGGAATGAACTGCTCTTGTCCATGGGGCTTGATCTTCTCATGCTTATGCTTGGCAGCACCTCCATGGAGTGAGTTTTGATCCTTTCCTGTGGGAATAATTCTCTCTCTCTCTCTCTCTCTCTCTCTCTCTCTCTCTCTCTCTCTCT